TATTAATATATATTAATAATATGTATACTATTTAGTGTCATTCATATGTGATTCACTGATTTATAAAATATCTGGTCTTTTTTGATACCTTTTAAAATATATTGCTTGGTCCAAACTCAGAACTAAAGCCAGAAAATATTTAAATTTGAGAGAAATAATAAAATAATTTAAATGGTTTCTGATAAATGTATTTAAATTAGACAGATATATTCATTAGATAGATGACAAACTAACCGTTTCAGCTCCACAACCCGGTTGTCACATTAAGTGTAATAGGTAACCTTCATTAAAATGTATGAATCATTTTTAAAAATTAATATAATGTGCTGACTCCCAACTTGTTGCATTCCCTGTCTCTTCCTCCCCTCATTTCCTGTCAGCTCCATCACTCTTCCATGATAAAGGCATGAGTCTACTACTTTTTATTTCTTAAAATACACTCATATGTCTGCACGGAAGAGATAATGCCTGTAATGGTTGAACAGCAGTGGAGCAGAGAGAGTTGAACTGTGTAATAAACCTGTTGGGACCGGGAGGAACAGCAGGGGGCGGCTGTTACCGGCTGTACCCGACCCGGAACTTTGAATTAGTTCATCCACTACTTCTTGGAAATGTTAAAGAAAAGCTGGTGTAGCTCAACGTTTGGCAGCGACGCCATTTCCAGAATTCATAAGAGTTCACTTTCAAAGTAAGAGCGCTGGATCGCCCAACGAATGCAGTTATTCGTTAGCGGGTCTTTACAAGTAGCACACTTAAAGAATATGGATATAAATAAATGGGAAATGTTTTATCGTCGGATGTTATATTCACGCTGGTGCTTCTGTGAAAACCTTAATTACAGGCGGTGTTTTATTTTGAAATTCATAACCGGATTTCATTGTCGTCGCCGTTGAAATCTGTCTAATTTGACTCAAACACCCGACTGAGCTCCAACCAACCCGGAACTTTTAAGCCAACTAATCATTCCTGAAAACTTATTGCACGGACTTTTTTCTGCTGTCTTTTCCGAGGCAGTACAGATGTTTCTCTGAGGGGGAAAAAAAAAAGTCGCTTCTGCGGACTCATTTAGTTTCTTCTGAGGGGGGGTTAAACAAAATAAATAAACAAAAAGGAAAGTTGCAGATGTTTCTGGCGGTTCCTGCAGGACTGTAGCTCGACTTGTCTTCTCAAACCAGGTAGGACTCAGTCAGGAGGGAGGGGGAGAAAAAGCTCCCCACTCTCACACTTCTTTCACAACCCTGTCCCGTGTCTTTTCACAATGCTTTGGCAATAATCATGTCAGATTTATAATAACTTCTGGAGATAACAGTTCAGCTGCTGCTTGTTTTTACCTTTATTTTACTTCTGAAGGAGCTGGAATAACTTATACAGCAGCACATGACTTTTTCTGAACCAGCTTACATTTAAGTCACTCTAATATGTCTAAAACACACAGTTAATCATCCAGATCGCAGAAGATGCTGTTTTTTAAAGGTAAAATGTGTCAAAGCAGCGTTATAATGAAGTGCTGCAGTGCTGCAGAGATTCACTGGCCTAGAAATACTGCTCTCCACATGTAAGAAAACATGTTTGTTTGGTTCAAGACACCAACAAATGTCACAACATCACAGTTTTTCTCAAAGACAATTAACATTGTGGAAATTATATCACAATATCTATAAAAAATAAACAAAGTACATCCCTAAATTATTACTATTATTGTAGTAACTGTAAAATCATGTATGAATAGTTAATTATTTATTTATCAAAGTTAGAATCCACTAAATTCCAGTAAAAACCTAAAGTGAGCTTGTTTTATTACTCCAGTCTTTCTTTTTATACCTTTTTATTAGAGAAATATGTGCTTCTGAGTGTGTGTGTGTGTGTGNNACATCATCAAATTAATTATCTTCAGAGTGTCTGAGTGCAAGAGGTGCGTGTGTGATATGTGCTTCTGTGTGTGTGTGTGTGTGTGTGTGTGTGTGTGTGTGTGTGTGGTACACTGTCAGGTTAGGAATTTGAGGCAGCTGAGCGCTTCCCCCTTCTCACACACACACACACACACACACACACACACAAACACACTTCTGCAAAGGGGAGGGGTGTGTGTCAGTCCAGGGGGTCTGAGGCTCACTGGTGAGTCTGCAGGCTAACAAAAGGTCTGGGTGTGCTGCTGGTTTGAAGCCTAATGAAGCAAAGTCCTCATGGAAGAATACAGGCACTGACAGCTGCTCAACATGGTGGAACATTTTCATCTTTACACCGCTGTAAAGTCGGTAAAATCAGCCCCCTTCTCTCTGTAGTGTTGTCGTGTGAAATAGTGTCATTTGTTTTAATTTGACAGCTTTACATTAATGCATAGATGCTTTTTTGAAGTATAGTTCTGTAACCATCATAACTTCCCTTTACTGTAGTTATCTACTGTAGATATCAGTTATCAGTTGGATTTTCCATAGGAATAATAATCTCACAATCGATAAGTGGTTAGATATGAGTAGTTAATAAGGTATGGTATACGGTTTATGTTAGGCTGTCAGTTTCATATGTGAGTTCAGGCTGAAGGTTTAGTAAAATTTATTGCTGGGTTTCTTCTTTGTTGGAATACCTTTAAGAAGTACTGAGTTTGCCGTTGGGTCCAAGAACTCGAGAGACTGAAAGCCAGAAAAATATTTTAAATTTGAGAGAGAATAATAAAGATAATTTAAAAAATGTCGGTGGTGCTCCATAAATGCGTATCTTAAATGATAGACAGATATATTCATTAGAGTAGAATGAGAAAGCTAAGCCGTTTCAGCTCCGACAACCCGGTGTCACATTAAGTTGTAATAGGGTAACCTTCATTTAAAATGTATGAATCATTTTTAAAAATAAATTTAGACAGGGATGTATAATCAGAATCAGAAATACTTTATTGATCCCCAGGGGAAAATGTGTTCGTTACAGTTGTTCCACTCACACAACGTAAGAATAGTACTTATATACAATATCTAACACAATATGTAGAATAGAAATGAATGTATATAGTAAAAAGTAAAAATAGAAATATAATAAGAGCCTATATACAATGTAAATGTAAACATATTCCACACTATTGCTGACAGAAATTAAATAAATAGTAGTATAAATAGAGTTTTAAGATTGTGGTGTTGCAGAAGTTATAGATAATTACAAAGAATGACATAATAATCAAGTGAATTTGCATGTTGACCCGGGTATTGCACCTTAATCGACTTCTTTTTACCAGTTTAATGAAAGTTTTGACACTCTGAGGGAGGAATTAAAGAGTTTGAACATCGTATAAGAGCACAACGCACAACCACTCCCTCCAGATAACGTAATAGTACTTTATAACCCCCAAGGGGGAAGCAGACTGCACAGTCAGTTCCTGCTGTAGCTCGTTCCAGGTAGAGTGGGCAGAGTATTGTGTACAGACTGAGGGGATGGAGAGGGTGATGGAGTGCTGGAAGTGTACAGGCTGTTACTGCACTCTTCCCCCTGTGACATGTAAGTGGATAAAGAGGTGAGCAACAGTCAGAGGACAGATGGTGATGGCGGGTTATGAATCTCAGAGCTCCGTGGTCGACGGCGTCCAACAGACGAAGCTGAGTGAGCTGAGGCGTCCAGAAGAGGCAGCAGCTCGCCGTCCTGTAGCATTAAAGGACCAGGGTGTAGGATTTAGAGGCCTCGAACGTTGAAGTTGCAGATTTCAACTAACTGAACACTGCTCGCGTCTGTATTTGACAACCTGGGAATGAGAAGGGGCTGTGAAGTGTGTAAATGAGCCTAACTAGAGCCAGTGTTTGTGCTGTAGAAACGTGGCAGCCACAGTAGGCGACCCGTGGCGTCTGTAGATAAAA